GCTCAACGGTCTAATTAATCTTCAGATTCAAATTCAGCGGATCAAAATACATAAAAATCATACTTGATCCGGGTCAACAAAAATTTTTTCATCGCTGTAATGCAGTTTTTCATATTTTGGGGGGTTTTTGCATTTTACTAAAATCTGGGACCTGACCGAGCCCAACGGACCTCAAATTCGGATTCAGCGGGTCGAAAAACATGTCTGTAGATGGGTCCGGTCAAATGCACAAACCACTTTTTTTTTTTGTGTGCCGGTGTTATTATTTTATAAGAATAATCTATAAAACTGAAGCTTTCGATATTTCTTTTGCAAGATTAATTCGGTACTATTAAAATAGCTACATTATGCTACTTTTTCTCATCATGTTTTGTGTAAATTTAAATACAGAATTTATTGGATTCTATTTTATTTATTTTCGAGCATAATAATTTAACGGTTACAAAAATATAAGAATATTTATTGCGTTATTTCGCTTTTTTACAAAATGGCGTATCTAAGTTTGAACGGCATGGTACTATTCTCCACCCCTTTTATAAAGGGTAAAACCCCATTCTACAAAGCTACCCTCTACGTAGGGTCTGCTTCCGATGCCGTGAATTCGAAAGTAACTTTATAATGCCTTTAGGATACGAGATACAATTTTTTAAAATTAAAATATGTATAAATATAAAAAATGAACGGCTCTTTCGCCGTTCTCTCCGTCTGTTTCAAACATGTATGTGAGTCTTATTCATATTCTAATTATTATTCTTAAATTAAATTGTGTCTATCATTTTTCCTTAAAATGTTGATGCGTTTTATTACTTGTAAAAATGTAGTTATATAATGTATAAAGTGTATACAATGTATAAATGCATGTAAACGTTCGCAATATATTGATCCCTGTGATGTTTTCGCTGAATTGAAATAACTGTGCAAATCTTTATGGATTATAAATCCTTATGGGAGTACAGAAAAATTCGATTCAAAGATTCTTTCTGGAAAATTTCAGGAAAATTGTGACTGATTCGTAGTACCATCTACCAATTTTCGTCAGTGACTATAAATACCTAAATTTAACGCTACCTTAGAATACCGTACACAGTTAATGTAGCTGCGATATACTAAGGTAGAAATTAATAAAACCGACGGATGGTACTAGCGACATAAAGTATCGAACAAACGTTATGCTGCTGGAAGAATTAATCGATACAGATAATTTTATTTCCACACTTCAATTTGGCATTTTGTACTAATATAGCTATTTTTTTTTACTGCGTTTAATTGAGTATTATAATTACAAAATGTTCTAGAGATTCTACTTGTAATAATTAAAATTTTTATAACTTCTAGAAATATCTTAGAATATCAATTCATAGAACGTTTAACCGTTAGATATTTCTTTTGATTGTTAGGACGCGCGATCTCTAAACTAAGACGATTTCACATTGCTAACAAATCTGCGATAAAAAATTATTTATATTTCTTATGTCTTATGTGTTTAGAACTGGCTCGTTACAAGATAAGGCGTAAGGCAAAACACATTAGTTTTTCTTAAAGTATTAATTTTAGAAGAAAAACATTTTAAATATAAAGATTATTGTATTTTTAAATAATTTATGCAGATAATAATGTCATCACGAATTATATTATTTTCGAAAAATTGTGATGATTATATTGTCTCAATTTTAAATGATAATTAATACGTTTTAACAATGAACAATAAATCATGGTTTATAGAGTAACTAAGATAAGTTAATGTTTAAGCTAATGTTAGTTAAATTTACATAAATTAGCAAACACTCATCAAATTTAATATTTTTTAAATTATAGTATTTTAATTATTTTTTACTCATTCTGCTAAAATTCTGAAATAGCATCCGAAGATTCCTTTGTGATCTTGAAGAACTTGAAAAATTTTAATTTGTATTATATTAATTATGACATTGAACGGCAATTGTAACATTATTCACCTATCCGCTTAAACATATATTCGTATAAACATCGTATTAATCAGCATAATTAAAAAAAAACATGATCAATAAGACGATAGTAGGATAAACAGGTTGAGTCAAAAAGGATAAGCTACCAGAAACATTTGTGCTCAGTGTTCGTCAGAGTGACGTCAATTACCATCGATAATAACTTAACGAACGACTCTCTCCTGCGACAGTCTCAATCCTACCTTCGCCAAACGAACACGCGCGTTCTTCGACACTCACGAAACCACACGGTATACCCTATCATTATATCAGCTTCGCGGTTCATTATTTCGAGATTAATGATCTATTATTGACATCGTAATTCTCATAATATGTCAATAACTCTTCGCTGTTAGTGCTGTTACATTTGACAACATCGGACATTGGATACTGGTGACACTACACGAAAATAATTGATTTTTTGTGTAAGATTATATCACGAAAGAAATCTTCTTGTGAAATACTTCTTATAAATTATTTACGGTCTGTGGAAAATGTGGCTGCACATGTACAATCGCATAATTTTTTGTTTTGCTTCCAATATTATTTTTATAAATAAACCTAATAAGTGACACGGAAATATATTTTTCTTAATTATATCATTATGTGATAGATAAAAATCTGTAAAAATATTTTTCCGCAATTGCACCAATTTCTAAGAACTTTTTGCTTGAAAAATTTATATATAAGTAATAAAATAAAATCGTGTGTTCGTTACATTATGCAATTAGAAATTATTTATGTTAGAGTATGCACTTAAAAACGACTAAAAAAAGCATTTAAATTTAAAATTAAAGATATTATGATAAATAACAGCAGTTTCTTTCAAATTTCAAGATCATAAGAGAATTGTTCACCATTTCATAATTTGGATAGAAAAAAAAAAAACAAATTTAAAATGCAAATATTGTATTTAATATTCATCTTTATATTAATTTAATTTATTCTTGACATTCCGTGATAATCCATCATCTAATTCTTAATTATTTTTAAAACCAATGTAACGCGTGATATAAATTATAGATTACTCTGGTTCTATTTCATAACTCTTTCGTTATTGATCTTGAATTTTTTTTTTTTTACATAAGACTACTTTGCATTTACGACGTGAAACCAGTTCCTTTGAAACACGCGCCATGCTTTACCTAGTCGCAGCTAATAAAAATATTCTCAATCTCTCAGATGCGATCATTACACGTAATAATTTCACTTCCTTCATAATTATGTTCTCAATCATAATTGAATCTAATTGTAAACGCGATCATTTCTACATTTTTATATTCTTTCCATTAATGTTCTAAATATCATGTTTGTCTAATTTTTATATAATTAATTAAATTTATAAAGAAGTTCAGGTATTTTAGGCAATTTGGGAAGCACGCGGGGAACAATCGGTTTATCTTTTTTCTTACTCAATTTCACTTGCTGAATCTGAAAATCATAATTAAAAGTTGTCCTAGTTTCCGGAAAATATATTTTTTTTATATTTTAAACAGAAAAAAGCAACGGTTGATTTTATTACTTTGAACCATGTCTGCAAATTTCTCTTTGTTTTTATAAAAATATGTTTTGAAAAAATATGTTTGTTACCTATAAGCCTTCAACCTTTCTTTTCAGGGCTTGAGAATCTGTAAATTACCTTAAATTATATTGTATCAAAATATCTCGAAAAGTATAAAAGATACGGAAAAATGTTTGAAAGAAAAGTTATACGAGTCTAAAGCGGACAAATAGTACGGCTTAAAAATAATTTTTGAAAAAATCAATTTTTTTACTTTTCGATATATATCGATATTTCGATGCAAAAGTTAAATTATATACATAACTTAAAGTAACTTACAGATTATCAAATCCTGATGAGAAAGAATGAAGTCTTAGGTAACATCGAAACTATTTTTATAAAAACAATGAGAAATTCGCAGATATGGTTCAACAAAGTGATAAAATCAACCATAATTTTTTTCTGATTAAAATATGAAAAAAATATATTTCCCGAATACTAGGACAACTTTAATTACAATTTTCAGATTCAGCAAATAAAACTGAGTAAAAAAAAGATGAAACCGACATTCCCCGCGTGTTTCCCAAATCACCTAAAATGCATAAATTCCTTTAACATTAATTTTTAAAAATAATTATATTACAGTTATTTAGATTTACAGATCCATATTCATATTTGCATTTGTACATCTGCAACTAAATGATTTCCATATTTCGCATATTTGCATTGTATAATTAATATTACATTAATAACACTGTCTATAGAGACATCGTGTCGAGAAATCTGTCAACAGTTTGAGGCTGTATGGTACTTTAAGAATATTAAAAATGAGGGAACATCGAAATAACTTGTTAATCCAATTTGGATTTATCTGCATCTTCGCGCTCAATGCGAATATTATATACGGTGATACAATTGCGAAAACGCCAAATGGTATATTGCACGGAAAGCGAATGCCCACCCGACTTGGAAGAAACATTAACGCATTCCTGGGAATTCCCTATGCTGCACCGCCAGTCGGAGAACTCAGATTCAAGGTAAAATTATCCTGATATTTTTTGCTAGACGTGAACGTGGAGTTAAATGATTCCATCCTTTGATGGAATTTGATTAAATCTTAATTTAATCAAGTGAGTTTGCGGAATTTAAGTTTAAACGTTAATTTTATACGCGCTGACGAGGAGTCGGAAATAAGTTACTAAATATTTCTAAAATAGTCGATTAAAATCTGTAGATATATTTCTAGCCAATTCAACGTATAGTTTTCATGAACGAAGATAAATACGTGGTTAAAATATTTCAACAGATTAACGTATAATTTAAGAATGTAAATTCACCTTTGAAATAAGGTATGTGTTTATATGCGAAAGGATAAATATTTATCGAAACTCATTTTTACGGCTTAAAAATAATTGCATAAATTTGTATGAGCCGATCATAGCTAACTGGGTTACGGCTTATGATTTAGAAAAAAATTATGGAATTAAAATCCGGAGATAATTATCTAAACCTGCCTGCAGTGTCCTTAATGATTCCTAATGGACTATGCGTCTCGCGCAATCACTTAAAAAGCTGCGTCAGGGACTTTCGCGGCAATTAGTATGCAACAATCACGCATCGTAATAACAAAAACGTTCTTTTCTCCCCCGGGTTTACGCATCGTACATACATCGCTTTTTTTTCCACGCAATTACGCACCGTCGCTGTTGCAAGTAATTCAAACGTCGGCATTCCGCTTTCCTAAATCAATTCTGATATTACACATGACATACTTTGTGTTCTCGTTTAACGGAAGTGAAAAAACTGCGTTACAAACGGATAATCGTGATCATTCTTTCCGTGCACGAAACTGCTATAAAGAAAAGAGCCTCAGCATCAGCAAATAGATACAGGATGCCACGAAACCGCATTTTATTGACTGTTTTGTATTCGCGTGACGTTCTGGTGTTGTAAATGTGTATTTTGTGCAACGTTTAGCCTTGCATGCGTTGTTAATATTATTGGAATTCCATTTTATAATGCAATACATAATGTAAATTTTTATTTACATTATATTTTTTGAAGATAATAAATAAAAAATAGGTTCAATATCAAATACGTTGACAAGATACATCAAATGTTTGTCAAGTGTTTATCTTTTATCGATCGCGAAATTGTTTAAAAATATTTATAAAAACAAATAAGAAATTCAAATCAGAAAGCTCCTTAGACACGAAACTTATCGTACTTAAAAATGTTTTCAAAATGTTTTCTAAAATATATTTAAAATAGTTTGTTTTATCCAAGTAGATTCAATAATAAATTTTTTTACATTGGATAAAATACAGAATATGTTACCAAAGAATTATTATCTTAATTATTTAATTACTATATTATTATTAAAGAATTATCTTAATTATTTAATTATTATTAAGTATTTAATTATTTAAAAAAGTCAAAAAATTACATGTATATCAATTAAAAGATAAAATAAAGAAAACGCAATTAATTTAATTACAATAACAGAGAAATGGTAAAATTGCTCTGTGAACTTCATATAGATTTTATAATACGCTTCGCAATATATCAGGAAATTATGATGCGGAACTAATAAACGTTGGAATTTAATTTTTAATTTAAGCAAGACGTGTCGCAGAAATTATGCTAATTGTATTTTGCTTGCATTAAATATTCTACTAGTCGACAGCTTTCGTCATTCAACGAGGACTGCTTCTTGCATTTTCTCTGATGTCTATTTCATAACCAGTGTATGCATAACCACTGATAAGGATATCTAATTCGCTAATTTAAAATTCAGAAAAATTAACTTATCTCTGACAGTAAAAGTATAGAATATGAATCGTATTAAGAGTGATATAAATAAAAAAATTGAGATATCAAAAAATTTAAATTTAATTCATTAATAATTTATTAATAATTATTCGTGTTCTATTACACGAAATGTTTTTTTCAATTTGGTGCAGTATACGTTTTTGTGCTCACTGCCCAAATGTGTAATGTCTTATTTACTTATTTAAAGTATATAATCTCACTTTAATATTTTATTTAAATTAAAACTACGATAGCTAATTTGAAATATTTTAAAACGGATATATCTTTAAAAAATTTTAATATCATTATCTTTTTGAATCACTTCAGCGCATTAAAGTTGATCAAATTGAAATTAAATAACTTCAATTTAATTATAAAGAGCAAGTGCAGGTATATCAAACAGGTTGACTCACCAATTGCTGCAAAATGAGGAAAATATTTTCCATAATCTGTAATGTAACATTGAATTAATAACATTAATACTGACACATTAGCGTAAATTATTATTGATTAAATCCTTTCGATACTTACGATAATCGATAGAAACTTCTGTATGACCGCGGCATCCGGATGACACGAACAATCGCGGATTATGCACTTGCGAAGGAACACGCGAAGATCGCGAAATATTGCAGCTGGTATAGCTTTTCCGTCACGTCACAGATCCGTTTCCGAGGTTCCGAATTTGTATGTATGTGTACGTACGTACTACGCGAATAAAACATACGGCTGTCGCGTCGTACTACGCGAATCATATAAGGTTATTACGCCGTGAATAAAATAATATATCACACGAATTAAATATATAGAGCTATATCACGTCGCGCGTCGAGTGCTGCCTCCATCAAATGCGACATTATAACCTATACGTCGAACATAACGCGAACACAGGAGCCTGTGACAACGCATCGCCCATCGTAAACAAACATGTAAACAGTATTCGCGAGATACTTGATTCGACGCGTTCGACACTCGAGTAACACGATTACGCGGAATTTTCGGAAGTTGGCAAACCTGTTGCGCGTCCGCGTTTCTCTCACGCGCGATGCAATATCTACGCATATTTTTCCCGATATGATTCTTCCCGACAATTTGTTTCCGACTGATATTTTCCCTCGACCGATATTACTCTCCCGATGTTCGCGTGATTTTCATGCGAACATTAACGCGAAATGAGCCGAAATCGTCGCGCGGTACAACCTCTGCGAGATACATGTCGCGCGATGTATTTGATACCTGGACGAACATCGCGGTACGACGATGCTTTTGATAGAATACATGCCGGACGACTCGCGGCTCGTGACCGGCGTCTCGTAGATCCCCGCAAAGGGGTCGATTACACGATCGGCGCGATATATACTCACGAAATAACACAGAACGACAACCGGCGGGACGCGCGACGCGCGCGGCGCGACGCTCCTCTCGGTCCATCTTCAGTGGTAGTAGTGTCGTGCGCACCGAGTCGTAAAAAACGGAATGACCGGGAGAAACGGCGGAACCGAACTTATCAAACCTTGCACTGCCCTTCATTACCGACGCCCAATGTACATTTAGCATATTTTATTTTAAAGATTTATAAATTTTATAATAATAATTAGAAGTTCGACACGCTGTTTAACACGTTGTTTTATGCAATTAGCAATCCTTGTCGATTAAGTTATAATATCTAATTAATAACCGCGTGATTAAGAATGCTTAATTATTGAATATGTACAACTCGTTACTTAATTATTATATACGGAATTTCAAATAATCTTATAATTATAATATAAATATGTATTCCAGGTAGCACATATTCGTTTCAGAAATGTTTCATAACCGATTCTTGAAAACGTTTCTGAGTGGTTAAAAATGTTCACTCGAAAAACGTTTAAAAAAACGTTTTTTTTTGGTTAAAAAAAATGTAGATATAATCGAAATATCATTTTTTATCTATCTGGAAAAAAGTTTGTGCATTTGTTCTTTTCAAGCAAACTTTTTCACAGATAGAGAAAAAATGATATTTCGATTATATTTTTCTACGTTTTTTTTTTACCAAAAAGAAACGTTTCTTTAAACGTTTTTCGAGTGGACATTTTAACCACTCAGAAACGTTTTCAAAGTGCCACCTGAATATGTATATGTCTAGTATTTTTAATTATAATTATTCAAATTATTTAATTATGTTTTTCTGCAAATTAAGCCACCACAACCACCGACAGCTTGGAACGGCACCCTAGATGCTACAAAAAACGCCGAGATATGCACGCAACGGAACGTTTACGTCGATCAGAAGGAAATTGTCGGCAACGAGGATTGTCTTTACCTGAATGTCTACACGCCCTGCTTGCAATGCACCCAAGACCACTCGGATTCCGATCATCATCACGAACATGAACAGCAGCGTAAGGCTTTTGCTAGATTCCCAGTCATGATTTGGTTCCACGGCGGCGGATGGCTCACCGGGGCCGGTCATTCTGAATTTTACGGACATAAGTTCTTGCTGGATTTTGACCTCGTCCTCGTCACCATAAATTTCCGGTAAATTTCCGAAGCTTGACTGATAATTTAAATCTGACGCTAGGCATCAGCTTTTGAAATTCTGCACCGTGCATTATTTTTTTATGTGTGCGGAGACGTAATTTCTTAAATATTTTAAATAAGAATATAGTGTGTAATAAATGACATACTTGCTTTTACGTAATTAGAAGTAAAAAAAGATGCGATTTTATAAGAAATCGGTATCAACAACAAAAAAGAAAAAGTCGTAATTACATATATAACAATAAATAAATTTCTCACGTTAGACTTGGACCATTGGGCTTCTTGAGTACGGAGGATCTGGAATGTCCAGGAAATCTAGGATTAAAGGATCAGCAGCAAGCTATGCGATGGGTGCACGAGAATATCGTTTACTTTAGCGGTGATCCGAATAAAGTGACCCTCTTCGGTGAAAGCGCCGGCGGTGCAAGTGTTCACTACCATATGGTCAGCCCACTTTCAGCAGGTAAAGCCTTTAATATCTTATAATGTATTTTGAAATATACACAGATATTATTTACATATAAAAGAATATATACTGACAATAAATAACTTGCCTGAAATAAATTTAAAAGAATAGACTGTTATATATCGCTTATTATTTCATCGAAGATACGTCAGTTAATCTGATTCGTGCTTGTTTTAAAAGGCATATAAATTATTACAAAATTTTTCCTTATTACATTGAGATATATTTCAAATGCACATTAATGCATATTTTATCGCAAAAACTGATTCTGCGATTCATCGGGTGTTTCGTCGTCATTAAGTGACACGTAATCGATCGCATGCATAATATTACTTCATACGCGTATATGCATAATATCAATTTCAATTTGCATCACTATTTATGTAATCGCGAATTTTCTGTGTATATACGAAGAAACGTGTTTTACAGCATTGCGATTTTCTTTCTAGAAGTAGTTAATGACTTCAAGGAAATTGCAAATCTGAAGCTTGACGATTTCAAAATTAATTATTTCATCGTTTCTTTTTATCGAATAGAGATAGCTATATAATTTAATCTAAAAAGCTTTATTTTAATGAGTTTTTAACGTTCTTATACAAAACATGACGAAATTTTGTCAAATTGGAAATATTAAATTTTACGAAAGTTCCCGAAAGTTTTAATTAAAAATTATTATATATTTTTATATAATAAATATTGTGTGTGCAGACAATATATGCCGCATGTATTATCTGCATCAATAAATGGTGCATCAATATCGCACGTCATTAGTAATGTGATCTTTTGCAGCATCATGCTTTAATTGGCATAACTCGTTTTTATGACTGAGAAATATTTACGTTTTTCTGAATCACGCAGGACTTTTCCACCGCGGTATTTCACAAAGCGGCAACTTCTACAACCCGTGGACTTTAGCGTCACCGGGAGTTGCCAAAATGAGAGCCATGACCTTGGGTAAGAATTTAGGATGCAATTCGGAAAATTCTAAGGAGCTCATTAAATGCCTGCAAACGAAGAGTGCGGAGGAAATCATTGGTACTGACCAACTTTTCAAGGTAACGAAATTTTTAATGGATATAAGAAGATACGTCAATGACAAACTTTTTGCAATCACAATTAGTTGGTGGTATTTGTTGGTGGTATTTGTTGGTGGTATTTGCACAATTAGTTGGTGGTATTTGCAGTAATGAAATAGTTACGATCTGAACGCTTATTTCAAATGCCATCTAAATGATGTCTTGTGTGCCATATACGCGTTTCTTATATATTTTATTACTTATTCATTTCGACATCTAACTGAAAGGATTCATTTAGCTGTCAATCGATGCTTAATCGGTCGTACATGCGCATATCGATGTGGAAACGTCATGTTAAATCACGTGAAATTAATAAATTTATGTGAAAGTTGACGGTGTGTTTTTTAAGATATATCTATATATACTAGTATATGGGTCACTTATCATCTCTGATGTAATCTTGGTTGTACTTAAAAGGCTTCACGCCTGGTTCCGCAGTACTCATGCACGTTTTACACGAACTCATTGCTTAGAACATTTGAATGTGCATTCATGCGCAGCTATTAAAAGTGCAACCGCAAGATAAGTCTGTATCTGCGCGTGCATCAGTCTCAGAAATTGTGTGCGGTGACAGGTAGACGGTTTATCGATATGAGTGCATGTAAAATATTCATGGACAGTCACGCAACGCATTGCTTACCATTTTTTTTAGAATAAGTGTGCCTTAATGCGAAATTAAGAGGAAGTTAAAAAGTGATTATTCATGACTCCTTGAGATTCTCTTATCTACTTTTGCTATTTTAAATTGTCTGATATAATTGCTCATTAAAAATTGATATAAATATCTTTTTGATAATATGAGATAGTAATATTTTGTTTACTCAAACTGCACCGCGGAAATTTTTATGAATAATTCTCACGTGTTATGTTTTGAAGATAAATATCGGATTGAAATAATCGAATGAATATATCGAAGTTCTGATAATACAAGAAAAACCAGTTTGACGAATACGCGCATGCACATTTATATTATGCCAAATACGTGCTTTTCGCGTGTGTAGTTGATATTTTTATTCATGCCTATGTATACGTATCATCACTATTAACTGATGTTAAACTGGAAAACGAGCAGTAAGACGCACGTACGATAAGTACGGATTTCCTACAAAAGCGTGGCAATAGCTCCGATTACTGTATCAATTTAATGTAATTATCAATTATCTTTATCATAGAAATTTGGCTACTGTCCAATGATACCATTTCGACCGGTAATCGAACCCAAGCATCCAGGTGCTTTCCTGATAGAGGATCCTTTAATTTCGGTACGAGAAGGTCGTCTCCTTGATATACCCTGGATGACAGGAATCACATCGGAAGAAGGAACTTTGAGAGTAGCAGGTAGGGACATGCTCGAATTCAATTTTATAACATTAGGTAATTCTTAGACTATAGAAATCCCAAAAATTACTTAATAAAGTGTAACTTTAAATCCCATATCAAAAATCTATCACGCATCCTAAATAGCAGATGAATTCAGTTTCTATATTTATTATTGAGTAATTAATTTTTTAAATTGATCGTGTTTTTTTTAACATCTTATCGAATTTTGTAATGTCATTCCTAAGATTTAATAATTTTTTGGAAATTATAAGCAATTAAGATACCAGTGAAGAAAGTATTTATGTTTATAACTCTATACGGTTCTCAGGTATTTACGGACGGGAAAACAACGTGAAAGAATTGGAGAAGAACTTTAATGAAATTGCGCCCATCAGTTTATTATATGGCGAAAGATATAATATCGCAAATGAAGATTTGCGAAATGAGATAAGTGCTACTATTCACGATTTTTATTTCGGCTACAAAGCTATTGATCACAGTGATGATTCCAGATTCAAAGTCATCAATGTGAGTTTAAGTTATATATAATAATAAGTTATAATTTGAAACATTAATATCTTATATTAAAAAATATACGACTTAATTTTTTATTCGACTAAAATCGATCATATTATAAAAATATCTCAATCGATATCAATATTTAAATATTATTTTAGTAATTTTTATGAACTTAAATTTGTTACTTATTCAAATAATAAATCTCGTACTTTGATAATCTGTGATAGAATATTTACTCTTTTGCTTTCTGTCTTTAAATTACAGACATTAATACCGCAAATATTTTCGTACATTATATTAAAAAAGTTTTTAATTATTATGAGCATAGTTATATGGTAGTATGTATAACGTCATTTATATTTATATGGAATTAATTTAGAAACATTAAATCTATTAAAAATTAGCCCTTAATGATTTATTAACATGATTTTCTAGATGTATAGCGACTACTGGTTTAACCATGGTACCCACGAAGCTGTGCAAGACTTTATTGTAAACCAAACGTCACCAGTTTTTTATTATTATTTCGCGTACAGAGGAAGCGCTTCCTTCAGCACGATATTCGGCGATCGAGAAAGAGATTATGGAGTATCGCATGCGGATGACTTACAGTATTTGTTCCCCGTGGGAGAACAATTGTTTACCTATACGACATTGTCCGATAAAGATCAGGAAATGATCGATGTCATGACTGACATTTGGTATAATTTTGCAAATTCCGGGTAAGTTTTAATCGATAACATATGTAAGTAACTATAATCTTTCGATAAGACAAAGCCATAAAAACTCAGTATGTGCATAATATTATATACTATACTTAACGAAATATGTTTTTAGAAATCCTACGCCAAAAGTCACCAAAGTGATTCCATTGAAGTGGAAGCCCGTGAAAACAGCTTATGCACCGGAATACTTACGCATAGAAAGCCCAACGAATATCATTATGGATCATAGTCTTCTCTGGGAGAGAATGATATTTTGGGATTCCTTAACACGCCGGATGAAGTCCCAAGACAATACGTTTAGACATCTGAAGGATGAATTGTAATTTGCACATCTACACATAAGTTGAAGACAAAAATATCTCATTGTCAGTACGGCTGCAAGAATCAATAATTTCGTGTAACTGTTTCATCTTTCGTTTTATGCCCCCTTAATTTTAGTTGTTTTAGAAACTTTTAAAATTATACCAATATAGTTATATAAATTATAAAATCTTTATTTTAATGTCAGATAAAATTTATGAAACGCATAATGCATTTGTGTTTTTTAGCTGCACATTTTATTTGATAAGATTTTTTTAATTTAAAGTTTTAAATATGTCTCTTTCTTTAAGTACGTATATTATCTATAAAAACAAGTCTTCGATTTGCCATGTTATCATGATGAAAATCCGATATTGCGACGTGATCCACTTTTCTCAGTTGCTTGCAGAAATTCCATTTAGCATTAAGTATATAAATATTAAAAATTTTATTAACATAATGTATATGTAATGTGTATTAATTATATATATAGTTATTATTCTATTACATTTATAATACAATAAATATAATATATAATTAAAATTTTCATATAAATAAAATAAATATAACATTTATATGTATGTGTATACTATATAATAAATATAAAAAGATAGCGCCAAAATAACACAAAAACGCTCTATGAATTGTATTATAAATATAATTTGTAATAAACATTTTGTTAATTGAATTAATATAACAATAAATTTTTTATGTAAATGTAGACAAAAGTGTATTTCTATTTTACAGTAAAAGTGAACTCAATAGTAAAGATTACAGTAATATGATAGGTAATATTATAGAGCAACATTCAGATCAGAAAGATCTCATCGAGAATTTCACCAGATTCAGATTTCTCTTTCTCCTTTCCATATTACGAAATTCTCCTACGCAACTTCGTGTAGCAATCTCTATTGGTTATTTATTTTAACATTAAATATCATTTAATTGACAAATTAAATTTTTTACATAAGACGATTGTGCATTGCGTAATATTTATAATACTGCAGCGCGTTTCTAACATGATAAAAGAAAGTTAATATAAATGCAAGACGAGAAGTAGTCTTAAAAAAGATAACGAAAAATTTTACTTCAACTCACTTCAAACTGCGAATTGACAGATTTCGAGACACGTTGTTTAGTCAATGGTCATATTTTTTCATTACCAATAAAATAAATTATTGTTACGAACTTAACAAGACTTATAAGTGTTTTAACGTTTTAATTGAAAGTATCGTTTAGTATGGCTGAGGAAAAAAAGAATGATTATATTGAGATAGAAGCGAGAATGTATGCGCCTCTGGAGTGGGATTCGCCGGCGATATGCAAAATACAGGATCTAAAGGAAGCACAGTACGAGGAAGCACTGCGTCTGATAAAAGTTCAGCAGCGGGAAATCCTAGACAGAACACGCTCGCGTTGAATATTTTAATATCAATTAATTACAAGCTTTGATAGTGCGAAATTGCGTCAATGTTTTTTTTGACTTTTTCCTTATTTTCCGCGATTTCCTATTCACTCATTTGCAAAATATTTTTCCGACGAAATGCGATTAGAAAATCTTGTTTATCTCATTTATCGCATATTATCATCATATTACTGAAGTTCAAAGAAACGCATTATTTCAGGAAAATTCTCGTAAGATATCAAATAGATTCGTGATTAATTTCATTTCAATATTGGTTCGCTCTCTAGCAATAATTTAATTTATTAAAATTATAGAATAATAGAAAATATAAGATTTTCACTCATTTCCTGCAAATATAATAAAAATAAAAATTATCGACTATCTTGCAGCATCATTTTTTCCGGGAGGAGCCGATGTGTAAAGCAATCGCTTTTCTGCAAGATGAGGCATCCGTTAAGACGTATCTAAATCTTATAAGAACATGGATGAAGGATACCATCAGTTTGGTTGCGCTCAGTTTGACATCGGGACGAGTCGTTGGAGTTGCCGTTACACGAATCAACAGCAATTCGGATAAAAGCGATACATACAATCGAGTGCAAGTACGTGCAATCTTGTTGTAGTCTCAAACTCTAAGAACTCGATGTCACAAGAATACCGAGCGATTAAAGCGATCTTTATGATATGTATTAAGTTATAACGCATTGTTATTAAATTGTAAAGCAATTTTCGTTTCATACCTATATAAACGGAAAAAACTGAAGGTGGTATAATTCATACAGTTCAATCTTATATTTAAGATCGTCTTAAGTCTGATGGTCTCAGATAATTCTTTTAAAATTTCTAGAAATGATAATAAAGACGATCTTGAATATAAGGTCGAACTATGAGTACCCCCTCCCAAGATAAGCTTTATTTTAGATAAGTCGAATCGAATAAATTGTACGATGCAAGAAACGTGTGTTTGATTAATTGGTACAGAATTTCGACGGAGACGCTCTAGAGAAAATCATGGGCCTGATCAACGCTTTGATAAAACGATCGAATATGTACACGGAGCTCGATTGCGATGCGTATCTACGAGTTCATATTCTTTGCGTTCATCCATCCTACCAGCAGAAAGGCGTCGGCGCGGCTCTGCTGAAAACCTGCGTCCAAATCGCGTCCACGTTGGGCATTCCGGCTATCGGCAGCGTCTTCACGTCGGGTCTGAGCCAGTCGTTAGCCCTGAAACTAAATTTCCGTCTCATCGCGGAAATCCGCTACAGTCGCTGGGTCGTCGACGACAGGGTCGTGTTCGACGACACCGGCAAGGGAAATTACTCGGCCGCTTTCATGGGAATGCGAATATCCCGCGACGAATTTGAAGACGGGAAATAACGATCGCGACTGTGTATCGTGCGTTGATATATTAATTCTCCGACTGGTACGAAATCACGAATACCAATTATTTTCCAATGTATCATTATAGATAAAATATAAATTCGTTTTCGCTTCAAAAACATGTGCCAATTTAAAAAATGCATTGTTATTTGAATATAAATTATATTTCGGAAAACTCATACAATATATTATACTGACGTGTATCCATCGCGATAAGTATGGTCGGTAGCATGCAGATATAAAAAAAAGAAGGATATAAAAATTTATAATTCTTCTATTCAGTTGCCGATGATAATACCAGAGAGAAATCTGAGAGAGGACATGACAGCCTTTTACGTGTTACCACAAAATGCCCTCGTGTACTAAAGTTTCCTGAAGAAGAGGATGAAACTACATAGCAACATTCACTTTTCTGCATCGCAGGTATACAATTTGTGGTGCGTGTCCACCTTTCGAGACTGCTGGGATTTTATTTTCGAGATTATTCTCGAAAAATTGTATATTCGAAAATCATGTCCTCTCTTAGATTACGAATATTTCCGACGAGTAACACAGTCTTTGGCTTTATTCCATGTCATGTATGTTTGGTTCCATTCCATGTTATGTGTACAAAATATAATTGTGTAATAAGAAAGTTATCTTAGATATTTCTTGATGGAAGCCTAAAAGTATAAATTTTTTCAAATGCAATTTTATACTGGCACTTTTTTTAAATTTATTATATTATATTACTTAATTAAACTCAGATGACACCGAGAATGAAATCAGAACTCAGTTATATGTCACTAAATCTGAATTCATTTTCAGATGCAAAAAGAATTCTTTTTCTAAAAGGAATTCTTTTTGCACCTAAAAATGAACTTAGAATTGATGACATAAAACTGAATATACTAATGAATTCTTTTGTGCTCTGTGTACTATTTGGATAGATTTTTATTATACGAACAATATATTTTCAATTTAAGAATTCAAAATTTAAGCCTGTTTAGCACAATTGAATGGGACTAGCGTAGAAATTAACATTTGTTTAGTCATAAATTAATCGCGGTGATCTTGATTTTTTCACCGCTGCCGTTTCAGAGTAAATTCATAGGATGCCCTATTTTTGATATTGAAAATCTCGAAGCCCGTTCAGCACAATCGAATGGGACTAGCGTATAAATTAACTCCTGTTTAGTCGTAAATTAATCGCGGTGACATTGATTTTTTCACCGCTGCCGTTTCGGAGTAAATTCATAGAATGCCCTATTTTTGATATTGAAAATTTCGAAGCCTGTTCAGCACAATCGAATGGGACCAGCGTAGAAATTAACTCCTGTTTAGTGACAAATTAATCGCGGTGATCTTGATTTTTTCACCGTTGCCGTTTCGGAGTAAATTAATAGGATGCCATATTTTTGATATTGAAAATCTCGAAGCCCGTTCAACACAATCGAATGGGACAAGCGTAGAAATTAATTTTTGTTTTGTCGTAAATTAATCGCGGTGACGTTGATTTTTTCACCGCTGCCGTTTCGGAGAAAATTCATAGAATCCAAACAATACCAAACAATATACGCGGAACAAAGTCAAAGACTGTGTTCTTTGCCGGAAATTTGAGAGAGGATATAATTTTTGAATGCGCAATTTTTTGAAAATGAAGCCCTAGCAGTCTCGAAAGATGGATGTAGCACGGACATGCACCACAAATTATATACCCGCGGTGCAGAAAAGTGAATGTTGCTATATAGTTGATATTCACTTCTCCAGGGGGTGTTAGTTATGCACGAGAGCATTTTGCGATAACAAGCAAAAGGCCGTCATGTCCTCTCTCAGGTTTCTCTCTGATAATACACTGGTATTATTGCAAACGGTAAACATTTATTAACATGTAATTGTTTATTTCCCCAGACTGGAGACGAAAGATTGTCGAGAAGAAAGATTTCCATTGACATTTTGATCGACGTTTAAGTTTGAAAAAGTTGCGCGTCGCGCCGGAAGAGTTCGTTGGCACGGTGCGAGCGGCGGGGTTCCGTTCGAACTTGGCGGATGTGCGCGCCAGTGCGCGCGCGCCAATGACGATATGCGCATGCGCCTATGGCGACATGCGCGAGGAAAGCCGTGGCAGCGGGCAGTGGCGGCAGGCGGCGGCGACGACGGCGGGCGGCCGGCAGTCAGTGCATGACGGCCCGAGGTTTGTATCGATATCGTATCTCCGCGCACGGTTCGCCCGCTCGCGAGAGGGAAAGGGAGAAAGAGAGATAGAGTGACGGTTTCCCCGGGGCCGCGCGACTCCGTGACGTTTACTACGACGCGAGCGGATCGTTCGTCGCGCGTCGTCCCCGCGTACTCTGAAGTTTCGGCTACGAAATTCGCGCCGCTTCGCGAAAGGGAGGCACGGACGCGCAGTGCGTGACGCGAAGGTGTGTGACGATATCGCTGAGTTTACACGACGCCAGACGGATTCGGCGGAGTCTACACACCATCGAGAGGTGACGAGGGACGAGTGCGAGGAGGGAAGGAGGAGAGAAGACGGGAGTGCGCGACGAGTCATCTCGGTGAGTAACGTGAACTTCATTTCGGTACGCGACTCGGCGCGAGAATTCACGAGGCGGCTGACCTTCCGACATCGGTGTCGATCTCGCACGGCCTCGTGAACTTTTGCGAAGAGTACAGCCTGTACACTTGCGAAAGGAGCAAGTCCATCGATGAACGATTACGTTTGCGAATTATTATTACCCTCTTCATTCCGCGATTACTCTCGACTCCGTGACGGAGACGAAGAGAGAGGTGACTGTATCTCGATGTACATATTTTATTTGTACCACTCCGTGACGACGACGAAGAGAGAGAGAGAGAGAGGTGATTATCTCGATGTATATATTTTATTTGTATATTTCGTCTATCTCGTTGTTTCGAAGTTTAGGACGTCTTTGAGATATATTTGTGTTATCTGACAAATATCAAGAATAGTATTTATAGAATTATCTCTACGAAAATAGATAAATGGAAAATATTTATTATATAAAGTGAGAATATTTATTGTATAAAGTTTATTATATAAAGCTATAATAATGGCAAAACTAAAAAAAATTATGCTATAAAGAATCGTGAACAATATTTATGATGTTGCTTAATACGAAATTCGAATTACTAATTGAACATGTAATTGCAGAAAAGGAACGTAACAATATTTTACTGGTAACTGATTCTTTTCTGCGAAGTTTGGTTTATTTAATATGCATTTAATATGTATGTAGTTAAAATATTGCACACAATTTCCAAAAAGATGAAAAATTAAATATATATTTATATAATTTATATAAATATATATTTAATTTAATCTCAACCGCGAAAAATACAAAAAAAAATAAATTTAGCATTTCAAGAAAATACTATTCTTAATTGTCAAATATATTTTACCTCACAAAAAGGTATGAGATAATTTAAGAGACATTATGAGTCATAATTTTATTGTTGAACAAAGAGCAAATTTTATATGAGCATAACGATATTGTAATAGGACTTCGTTACACGTTTAGTCTGTTTATCATCAAGGAAATCGTGGAGTTTCTCATCTCGTCTCGAGTGACACTCGCGCGTGTTTCCGAGTATAATGAGAGACGCTCATATCTTCGTAGAATTTTGTCATGCAACGATGCTCGCGATTTTGAGGAGCATCACGTTAATAACGACGCGAAATGCGCTTCTAACTTGAAAAATTTGGAAGGTATCCGAAATCTAAAACATCGATTGACAAAACGATTTTTTATCACGAGAAAAGACACGAGAGTTCTCGAATCGACATGTTTCGAAATTATTTCGCGGGACCATTTTGCGCGATGACGTCTCTCCGCTAGTCGATTTCCATCGAACATCCTTGGAACACGAGGGTCAATGAGCGACACGCTTGCTCGACACGATGTTTAACGATCCGGAAAACGCTCGGGGGTGAAGAGGAGAGGGATCGACTTGCAAGGCGACAGCTTGTGGAGTGTATCTCATGTCTTTATTTCATCATTAATTTCTTTATAATCGCAGTGGAAGCTGTCTCGGTCCATTGCAATCTGAATGACATTTCGATATAAACGAATTTTTCTATTCTTTTTCTTATTTATGTCCTATTGTTTTATTCACGTTTTGAAACAAATAAGTCGCGTTGAACTCTAAGATTGATAAATAATTAGATCTTGATTTCCATTTGGATTTACGCAAGTTTTATGAACGGGACTTCTAGTTGTATTTAATGCTAAAAGCAGTAGTAAGCAAAGATTAACTTGAGCTAAACCGCGTGATTTAAATATTTCAATGAATTTAAATTTTACGGCTGTTTGTTGAAACATTTTAGATAAAAATTAAATATGTTGAGGAAAATCATATGTTGTAAAATACGAGTACTATATATTTTCTCTGAATCTGCGACCACAATTTCCTCGCGTTGACGCGTTCAGCCAATCGGGCGTGAAGGTTAGTGTAAATGGACAAAGCTAACTTTGACATTGCCACATGTGCGACCGACGTGCGCGATAACATGTATAGCGTACAGAAGTCGATGTACGAGAAAGGTATGTCAAGTTGGTTTGGAGTAACGAGATAATCCGGGCGCCGACGAGAATTACGAAATCGTTTGGGCAAGCAATCCACGGAAGGTTCGAGCGACTGGAAAGGATACGATCAGAGAATAAAATCTTACGATTACGCGAGCATTTTCGTAACTACTTCGTAAGACTTGCGAATAGAACACATAAGATTCTCCATTTAACCATATCATATAGAAAAACTTAGTCATTTAAATCTCATGTACACTATAAAAATGAAAAGATATGTATTCGGAGCATATTTGAGCGATATGCGGATATTTTTGCATTTAACAATATTTAATTATATAATTATATATTTAATGTTTTGGAGTATCGACGTAAAATGATACGCGCGTCTCGGTAAAAATACTTTTAATATGAAAAATTAGTTGAAAAATTTATTTGAACCTCCAGATTCGTTTAACGAACCTCCAGACTAGAGTTTAACGTGAGTAAGGTCGATCCGGAAGTCGTTCGCTTGTATTACTATAAATGCTTCTTATCGAGAGTCATTAGATATACGCTATTTATCGGGTTCGAGCTTAGAAATGATAACCGGTGGTAGAATCTTCCTTGCCGATTACGGTCGTACCGGAAACGGAAAGTTGCTACCGAGGCACGACCATGCGTTGTCGATGGTTTCGCGAAGAGATTGCGCGTTCGTGCACGGAATGGGGCATCCGCGCTAATGACGATAATGATAATCATATTAATGACGATAACGCTGGGCGGGTTTGTAACAATCGTGGCAAAACGCGATTTCGAAACGGACTTCAATACAGCTCTATTCCAATTATTGCATGGTTACATTGCTCGATAATGCATTAAGAGACGGAACGTTTCGCCCTTTATTTAAAATTTACCGCAATGAAATATAATCACGTTGAATTAGTTTGTTCGATAATTTTGCCTAAAAAACTTGAATTTTTTAAATAAAATTGACTATTAGATAGATTATTTTTTTTCTAATCAAAGTGTATGCCGATTTTGCTAAGAAA